ACTAATCAATGAGAGAAGCAACCTAGAACTAAGGAGAAATTTCCTGACAGTTAGAACAATTAATCAGTGGAACAACTTGCCTCCAGAAGTTGTGAATGCTCCATCACAGGGAGTTTTTAAAAAGATGTTGGATAACCATTTGTTTGAAGTGGTGTAGGGTATCCTGCCTAGGCAGGAGGTTGGACTAGAAGACCTCCAAGGTCCCTTACAACTCTGTTATTCTATTCTATTCCAAAATTATTATTTTTATTTTTTTATCCATATGCATATGCATAATCTTGCATACATATATATACATGCAGTATTATATTCTGATAGATCAGAAGGTGATAATTTTCCTAAACAGCATTTAACATTGTAGATTATACAATTCTAATTGTAAACTTGTTTGATTGTAAGCAATTCCCAGTTTTTGTCAGGGAATGGAAATTTGGTTCCATATTACCAGTCAAGGCCACAAGACATTGTACTCTCCCATGCAACCACTGGATAGGAGAATGAAAAACACATTATTACATTGCTGCTGTTTTCTGGAAGAAAAGAAATGTTTTATAAAGTAGAACAGTCTCTGTATATCTCTCTACATATTTGGCAGATCTATTATAGCAGGAGTGCCAAACTTGTGGCATTACATTGTTATCACATGGCATACAGTTACTTTTTTCTCCTTTGCTAAACTGGGATTGAGGGTGGCCAGCGCATGACACATCTGGGCCATGAGCTGTGAGCTTGATGCCTCCGTATTACAGTATCTGTACAATAGCTGTGGTGGTGCAGTGGTTACAATGCAGTATTGCAGGCTGATTCTGCCAATTGCTAGCAGTTTCATTGTCACTGTCTCAAGGTTGACTCAGTCTTCCATTCTTCCAAGATCTTGGGGACAATATGCTGAATCAGCATCAATATGAGCTTAGCACTGGCCACAGCACTTTAAGTTCAGACAATAGATTTTTGCAATCATACATACTGTTGATTTCTTTGCTATACCATGTTAACATTCTAAGTAATTGTGATGACCCAGGGTGGGATACAGATAACAGATAATCAGAGTTGGAAGGGACCTTGTAGTAATCTAGTCCAACCCCCTGTCCAAGCAGGAGACCCTACACCATTTCTGACAAATGGCAGTCCAATCTCTTCTTGAAAGTCTCAAGTGACGGCACTCCCACAACTTCTGAGGGCAAGGTGTTCCATTGGTTGATTGTTCTCACTGTCAGAAAGTTTCTCTTTATTTCCAGGTTAAATCTCTCCTTGTTCAGTTTCCATCCATTATTCCTTGTCTGGTCTACAGGTGCTTTAGAAAATAGCTTGACCCCTTCCTCTGTGTGGCAGCGCCTCAAATCTTGGAAGACTGCTATCATGTCTCCTCTGGTCCTTCTCTTTATTAGACTAGCCAAGCCCTGTTCCTGTAACCATTCTTCATATGTTTTAGTCTCCAGAACCCTAATCATCCTGGTTGCTCTTCTCTGTACTTTTTCTAGAGTCTCAACATCTTTTTTGTAGTGTGGTGACCAAAACTGGATGTAGTACTCTAGGTGTGGTCTTACTAAGGCTTTATAGACTGGTATTAGTACGTCCCTTGATCTTGATTGTATCCCTCTGTTACTACAACTTAGGATTGCATTAGCTTTTTTGGCTGCTGCTGCATACTGCTGGCTCATATTTAGCTGGTTTTCCACTAAGACTCCAAGATCCCTCTCACAGTTACTGCTATTGAGCCTAGTTTCATCCAGTCTATATGTATACTTTTGGTGTACTTGCTTAAGTGTAGGACTTTACTTTTTTCTACACTGAATTTCATTTTGTTAGATATGGCCCAGTGTTCTAATCTGTCAAGATCTATCTGGATCTTGAGCCTGGGTGTTAGCTATTCCTGTCAGCTTAGTATCATCTGCAAATTTGGTAAGTTCCCCTTCTATTCTTTCATCTAAGTCATTAATGAAGATATTGAAGAGTACTGGGCCTAAGACAGAACCTTGTGGCACCCCACTGCTTACTTCCCTCCATGTAGACTTAGACCCATTAAGGACTACTCGTTGAGTACGGTTTGCCAGACAGTTGTGAATCCATCTAGTGGTGGTGCTATCTATTCCACTTTTTTGCTGAAATCTAAATATATTATGTCCACAGCATTTTGCTGGTCTACTAATTTAGTTACTTTATTGAAGAATGAAGTAAGATTGGTTTGGCATGATCTGTTCTTAACAAACCCGTGCTGACTGCTAGTTATTACTTTACTTGTTTCTAGATGTTGGCAGATCTGTTTTTTTATTATCTTTTCCAGTATTTTCCCGGGTATTGATGTTAGGCTGATTGGTCTATAGTTTAATCTGTTTTTGTTCCTTTTTTGAAGATTGGAACCACATCAGCTCTTTTCGAGTCCTCTGGTAGTTCCCCGGTGCTCCAGGATTTTTGAAAGATATGGTGCAGTGGTTCTGAGATGACCTCTGCCAGCTCCTTTAAAACTCTGGGATGTAATCCATCAGGCCCTGGTGATTTGTGTTCATCAAGATCAGACAGGTGTTCTCTTACTATTTTTTTGCTTATTTTAACTTTTATTTCTGGTCTGTCTTTTACAGTTATGTTTTTGGTGGGTTGAGCTATAGTTTCTTTTTGCATGAAGACTGATGCAAATAATGTGTTAAGCAGTTCTGCTTTCTGTTGCCTGTTACTTCCTTGCCATCTTCTCTCTTTAGTGGACTGACTGTTTCCTTGATTTTTTTTCTTGTTATTTATATGTTGGAAGAAAAAAAATTTTATGAACATGTAGCACATTTATTTTTATTCACCTCAAAATCTCACAGCTAAATCTCTTAATATTTTTTAAAGTTTTTATTTTTTACAACAAACATACAAACAAAACATAAAAACATCTTTCAATTATATACATACAGTGTGTCAGTTGGTTACAGCCTTTTGTGCTATCCTTTTTTTTAACATTACTCACAAGTTGTATAAATTCTCACCTTATCAATCTAACATGTGCTTATATAATATCAATCATTAATCATTCATTTGACTAAACTATTTTTCCATCATTCTCTACGAGATATTCTGAATTTCATTATAATTTAATGTTATACATTCATCCAATGGTTATATATATTATATTGTATTCTATATCAATTTATTAACTTTTTATTGTAAAGCTTCCTAATCTATTTCTTTACCATATTTTTTTATCCAACCATTGATAAAATAAATCCCATATCATATAAAATTGTTTGTCTTCTTGTTCTCTGATTTCAAATGTCAATTTACTCATTTCAGCACAGTCCATGACTTTCTTAATAGTTTCCTCCTGCATAGGTATTTTTTCATTTTTCCAATTCTTAGCAAATACAATTCTAGCCGCTGTTAAAACATTTACAATCAAATATTTCAATTCTTTACTGTACATTTTTCGTATAATTCCCAATAAGAATATCTCAGGTTTAAAGTCTATGTGTTCTTTTATCATTTTTTCCAACCATGTGTTGATTATAGTCCAATATCTTTTTGCATCCGAGCATGTCCACCACATATGGTAAAATGAGCCAGGTATCTTATGACATTTCCAACATTTATCTGATTTATTCTTGAACATCCTCGCAATTCTCGTCGGGGGTAAGTGCCACCTATAAAACATCTTATACAAATTTTCTTTATATGCAGTTAACATTGTCATTTTAGAAATTTTGAGACCACAATTTATGCCATTTGTCTAGATTTGTCATATCTAAAATTTTCCCCCATGCAATGATTGTTTCTTTAACTTGTTCTTCCTCTAATTTAAACTCCAGCAAATGTCCATGAACTTTTTAAATTACATTTCATCAGTACCTGTCAAAATTTTATCTAAATCAGTCAACTTATCATAGATACCTTCTGTTTATCTTTATCAAATCTAGATTGTATTTGCAAATATGAAAATCAATTCATGTTTACACCTTGTTCTTCCAACGCTTGCATAGATTTAAGTTCACCCTTCACATTCAATATCTCACCATATCTGTTTGTTTCTTTTTATATATTATTGGATAAGAAAAAGCTTCAATAGTAGATAACCATAGTAGAATTTTTAGATAATATTGCTTTTTTATCTTCTCCCAGTTTAACAACAATGCTTCTTGAATATAATGTCTTCTAAAATACCCCTGCACTTTAGTTCCCTTATACCAGAGGAAGGCATGCCACCCTAACAGCAAGTCATGTCCTTCTAAATTCAAAAGTCTAGTATTCCTTATTGATATCCACTCCTTTACCCACATTAAACTCGTCGCCTGGTAGTATAATTCCCAACTGGGCAAAGCGAATCCTTCTTATTCTTGCATCTTGTAACAGTTTAAATTTTATTCTCACTTTCTTCCCCTGCCAAATATATTTTAGAACTATTTTATTTAGATCTTCAAAAAATTCTTTTCCTAGTCTAATTGGAATTGTCTGGAATAAATATAAGATTCTGGGCAATATATTCATCTTAATTGTAAATATTCTCCCAATCAATGATAATTGTAAATTTTCCTATTTTATCAAATCTGTCACAATCTGTTGTTTAAGATAATTGTCCTCCTTAAGTGTTCTACATTTTGGTGTTATGTGTATCCCTAAATACTTAACCTTATTTGTGACCTGGATCCCCAAAACTTATTCAATTCTTTCTTTCGTCTTACTAATATGTTCTTTGTTAAAATCTTTGTTTTATCTTTATTTATTTTCAGACCTGCTACTTTCCCATACTCTTCTATCGTTTTTATCAGTTTAGGTGCTGACTCCAATGGATCCTCTAATATGAATACCAGGTCATCTGCAAAAGCTTGCAATTTATACTCTTCTTTTTTAATTTTCATTAACACAAACAATAGAGGAGACAGTGGACAGCCTTGTCTAGTCCCTTTTCTTATATCTATAAAGTCTGTTAACTCTCCATTTATCATAACCTTTGCAGTTTGTTTACGATATATCGTTTCTATGGCTTGGGTAATTTTTTTACCAAAGCCAATTTGGTCCAACTGTAGCAGCATAAAATGCCGATTCACATTATCAAAGACTTTATGTGCATCTAAAAACATCAAAGCCATTTGTTTTTCGGAATGTGCCTCATAGTATTCCAGTGTGTCTAAAATTATTCTCATATTGTCTTTAATTTGTCTCTTTGGCAGAAATCTATTTTGATCAGAATGAATACAATTGTTTAAGTATCTTTTCAGTCTTTCTGCCAGAATTGAAGCAAAAATTTTATAATCTGAGTTTAATAGGGATATAGGTCTGTAATTTTTAACTTGCTGTGGGTCTGTGTCCTCCTTCAGTATAAGTGTAATATATGCTTCTGACCATGTTTTGGGTATTTTCTTCTTTGTCATAACTTCATTCAAAATTTCTAATAAATGAAGATTCAATGTTTCCTGAAATGTCTTATAAAATTCCACTGGCAAACCATCCAGATCTGGTGCTTTCCCAATATTTTGCTTTTTTAAAGCTTCTGTTAATTCCATCATTGTTATGTTACTTTCTAACATTATTTCAATATCTTTGGGTATCTGGGGCAGATTTGCTTCCTGTAAGTATTGTTGAATTCTTTTTTCCTGAACATTCTCTTGATGGTACAATTTTCCATAATATTCTTGAATAATTTTTTTCTTCTCCGCATTTCCATAGCATACATGTCCTTGTTCGTTTATCAATTGATTTATCCTTCTTGAATCTCTTTCCTTTCTCAATTTATATGCCAGCCATCTTCCTGGTTTATTTGCATCTTGAAAATAGTTCTGCTTAGTGTTTTTAATGTTTTGTGGTATTTCCTCTTTTTCCATTAGCCCCATTTTATGTTTAGTTATGTCCATTTTAATTTTAAGGTCCTTTTTTGTGGAAATTTCTGTAGTTCTTTTTCCAGCCTCTTCTAATCGTCTTCCAATGTTTTAAAGCTTTTTCTGTTTTGTGTTTCTTTTCCTTGTATAGTCCATTATCAAATCTCTTGTATATGCCTTCATCGTGTCTCAGAGGTTCTGTAATGATGTATCCTCTTTTGTGGTCAGTTCTCTCAATTTTCAGTCAGTTCTCTTTCAATTTTCTGTTTAAAATCTTTTTCCTTTAATATCGTATTATTTAAAGTCCATCTGGATCTCCTTTTTTTTTCTTTTACATACAACTGTTATTGGATTATGATCTGCCCAGGTACTTGTTTCTATTTCAATGTCTTGTATGTTAGAGAGCAATTCTGTTGACATCCATATCATATCTATTCTGGACCATGATGCATGTCTATTTGAATAAAAAGTATATTGTTTATTTTCCATATTTCTCTCTCTCCATGCATCTTTTAAGTTTATCCCATCAATTCGAAAGATGGATTTTGGCAATGTCTTTCTAGTTTTCTTTGCTGTTTTCTGTGTTTTACAATCCAATTTGTCATTTATTATTCCATTAAGATCTCCCATCAGACAAATATTGGCATAGTCCAATTCAATTATTTTCATATGTAATTTCCTGTAAAAATCTTCTTGATTATCATTTGGAGCATAGATTGCTATTAAAAGTGCCTTTAGATTATTGTCCATTATCTCCACCATCAAAATCCCTCCATCATCATCTGTATATATTGGTTCCGCAGGGATTGTATCTCTAATGTATAACACCACTCCTCTCTTTTTACACTGTGTCAACACTGTAAATAATTTCCCTAATTTTTGTTGTTTCAATATGTGTTCGTGTTTTTTTTTAATATGTACTTCTTGTAGGCAGATTATATCAAATTTTAATTTCTCCAACTTATGAAATATTTTTCTTCTTTTAGTAGCTGAATTAAGTCCATTTATATTAATTGTAATAAGTTTTCCCTCATCCATTTTAGACTTTATAAGAAGGATTTGTTGCTCTAGTAGATCTTGGTTCTCGTTGCTCTCTGGGTACATCACCTATGGCTCCTTCTTCTTTTTCAATTAGTGCTATACATTCCTCTTGAAATTCAATTAATGATTCTTCTTTTCTTGTATCTTCCTCCTTTCCTCTGAAGTATTCCAGATAGAATAACTCAGCTTTTTCAACTGCATCAATTCTGTGTCTTTGTTCCTGCCAGGTAAACATGAGACCTTCTGGTATCAGCCATCTGTAATTTATTCCTCTCTTGGGTAGGTCTTTGGTCAAAAATAAACATTCCCTTCTTATCTTTCTCACTCTTCTTGGTACCTGTTTCAGTACCACTATTTCTTTATCTTTGTACTTTAGTTTTCTCTCTTGCCACCTGGAGTATTTGTGATTTAATTATTTTCTTAGTAAATCTGATATGAACTTCTCTTGGTAGTTTATCTCTCATCGCATATTTTGCATAAACATGGAAAACCTCATCTGTTCCATCCATCATCTTCTCTTTAGTTATTTCTAATGCTTCTGCCAGGATTTCTGTCATCATTTCAGCAAGGTTTTCTCCCTTTTCTTCTTCTATATTTTGGAATCTAAGATAGAATTCTGACCTATCAATTTCCCATCCCAATGATCCCAGTGATCTGCTCTTGTCTCTTTCAACTTCACTCACTCAGGTATCCATATCTCCAATCTTCTTATCTCTTTGTATGTCTTGTTTTTTAATTTTCTTAATTCTGTCCTCATATTGCATTATCATCTGTTGGATATTTTCAATTTCTCATCTGTCTTTTCAGTTCTTTGTTCGATATTCTCCATTCTCTTTTCAACGTTTTCCGTTCTTTTTTCAATATTATCTGTTTTTGCTTGTATCTTTTGAATTCCTTGCATAATCATCTGCAGTGACACTTCCTTCTCCTTCTCCTGTTGCAACATCACCTGTATTGAGTCCTTGAATATAACACCAAATGTATCAACAAGAAAGAAAGAAAGAAAAACAGTGTATCCAAGCCTCCAGGTGGCAATGCTACTTATTTCCCTTTCCTTTCCCTCTCATATTCCTCTCATATTTAAGCAAGGAATAAATTAAAAAAAATCTAAAATTGTTAAAAAGAAGAGAAAAAAATCTTTTCCAACGAGTTATTTTTCTAAAAAAATTAAAGTTAAAAGGAAAGGCCAGTTCAGTTTAAAAATTGAAAAGCTTTTACAAAAATCCAAGTTCCAATAAAAAAGAAAAACCCTTCAAGTTTAATTTGTGCTTAATCTCGCCGCTTGACCACATTTATCTTTACTTTTAAATTTTAGTTTTAGTCTTTTAGGGTGTTCTCTCCAGAAAATAGTAAATAGAAATTTATCTCACCAAACTGACACACTTTCTTTCCAGTTTTCTTCCATTCCGGAACTGTCCCAGCTTCAGCAGCTTTAATGGCTGCCTCTCCATCACAGGTAAAAAAGGACTTCTCCTGCATCTATCAGGGACTTTGCAATGTCCCTGGGATTGACAGGATGTGCCTGCCTTAGTCACCATCTCTACGGGACGGTTTAGGTCTGGTGGGACTGTCCTGCAACGGAAATATCAGCAGTGATTATAGAGCTTCAAGATCGCATTCTGTAGTGCCGTGACACCAGCTCTGCCCTTAGAAGAAACTTTTTTTATTATCTTTGACTTTTGTTGCAAGTCTTCGTTCGTTCTGTGCCTCTGCTATCCTGACTTTGTCTTTGCAGATTCTGGCTATCTGCTGATATTCTGTCTTAGTTGTATGTCCTTCTTTCCATTTTTTTGTACTTGTCCTTTTTATCTTTTAATTTGCCAAAGAGATCTTTGTGCAGCCATGCTGGTTTCTTCTTGGATTTCTTGTGTTTTTTTTCCTCAGTGGTATTGTGCTGGTCTGGGTTTCAATGATCATACTTTTCAGAGTTTCCCAAGACTCTTGAGTTGTTTTTCCCTTTAGGATTTTCATTCATGGAATCTTTCCCAAGTTCTCTCTGAGTTTATTGAAATCAGCTCTTTTAAAATCCAAGACTCTGGTGTCATTATGTTCTATTGCTTGTGTTTGTGTTATGTTGAATTCTAATATGACATGGTCACTCTCACCCAAGGTTCCTGCAGTTTCAACTCCCTCTATCACTTCTTCTCTGTTTGAATTAAAGTCCAGTATGGCTGTCCCTCTAGTTTCATCCTCTACCTTTTGGACAACAAAGTTGTCAGCTAGGTTGGTTAGGATACAAAACAAACACAGTCAGAGAAAACAGGTGAAGCCCCTTTTATTCCTTCAGTTTGCTTCCAAGCTCCAATATCTTTGACAGAACACAAAAACACTCCCACACAAACAGTTACACGAAGAAGGGAAAAAGCAACACAAACCAGGCAAGATAAGGGCTGGAGGATGTCCACAGATAACAGACACTGGGAAGGGCATCAAACTCAGAGAGGAAATTTAAACTAGAGATATTTACATGCTTTGTTTCTAGTGTTCGCCAGTACACAGGTCCATACACTTATTCAGTTGTCACAGCTGCAGCCCATGACAAGAATCAAGGCCATCTCCTCCTGAGTAGACCACACCTCTCCCTTATCCTCTCCTCCCTGCGTGCCCTGGGATGGATAGGTGATGGGCCTGGGTCCTCCTCTGACTGCTCAGCCGGCCTCTGCCCTTCCCCAGCCTCCTCCACAACCTCCGGAGCCACACTTCCACTCCCTATCAGCTGTTCCTTCTCTTCCTCAGAGTCAGTCTCTATGACAGTAATGCACCCATAGAAATGAGGCAGGTTCCTCAAAGAACAGTTTTATTAGGCGGATCATATTGGCACAACTGGTGAAAGCTGACTCTAAAAGTTCCTGCAACTTTCACCTAATTAAAAGTAAAAGTTTCCCCTTTCCCCCAAGTCACTGATCATACTGTCCAATCCAAGGAGCTGGCCGGTTTCTTGGTTACTTCACCCCTTCTCTTGCCAGCCACCAGTGGGAAATGTCCTTAGGTTTTAACTACAAACCCCATCTAACTAATTCCCTCCCCCTTCTGTTGTGTGGCAGCCCTGAAGCCTCCAAGAAGACCTCAGCCATGATCACTTCAGGGCTGACATACCAATCATATGCTTTACCCATGGGCAATGAATCCTTATCACAAAGTATTTAGAATACCCAAAAAGATTGACAAATTTTCTAGAGGACAAAATGATCTCAAAATATATTTAAGGCTTTGCATTTATATTTATCTGTAAAATTCAGGCTGAGCAAACTCAAATGGTTTCCTTATACAAGATAGAATATTAATACGACTGAGTGGCTGACAGCTGGCAGCATTAATTATACTTGCAT